CATCTCATACGCACAAATGCCATCGAGGCTTTTCCACGGCTGGGGCATTTACAGCATCTCTGTCCGGATTCAAAGTTTTCTCATCAAGGTGGAACTCGGAGAAGGCATAAATAGCAGGTTTCTCTCGCTTTCTCTCTCTCTCTCTCACGCACACGCACACACATCTCTCTTTTCACAACACTTTCAGTGACTTGCTACTTTTGGGATTTCTACCTGCTGTCAGTTTGGTTGAAACTGGCACCAGAATACAGTAATTACTGGGGTTTGGGGCTGTAAGGGAAACATGCGCTCATACGTGGGCTATCACCACATAAATCTCATTTCCTCATGAAACCAGGGTTCAAGCTTGTTTCTGATTTAGACGGTGGTACAGAGCTGCTACGGCAGACCCCTTGCTAACGCATGTTTCCTTGTTTTCCTTGCTCTGCCACCATTTTCTTCCCCTGCATAGTGAGGTATGTTTTTTCTCAATCCCTCCTCCTGTATCCTGCTTTTTGGAGAATAAGGATGGTTTTCTTCCACCTCGGTGACATTAGGATACAACCGGGGGCCCGTCATTCACTCATACGCACGTTATAATCGAGTAAGTCTTGTTTCCTTATGAAACCTGAGCAGAGCTGATTCCACACAGCAGACGACACTTCGTCAGCCCATTGCAATGCGCTGCAAGGCACTTCAAAGACTAAAGGAGGGGGGGAACCCTCCTTCCTTCAAGTCACCATGGAAAGTTTGCCCATAACAGAGGCAATGAATCTGCAGAGACGCCAAAGGTAGCTAGACAAGACGACAACCCTTTTCCCAGAAGCTCAGTTATGAGAATCTCTTTTACAGTTTCAGCCCTGAACATCCTTTTCTGGGCCGAACAAGCAAAAGAGTCCTGAGTCAGCTCAGCACGCCTGGAAAGATCTGCGACACCTTGTTTGGGCTCAGCGCACTGATGGATTAGCACTTGTCCGTGTGGAATTGTAGGTTTCAATCCTCAGAGCCTTTTCCAGGCAATTGATCTATCCTGAGCCTTTCATCGGGTACAAACGGGCCTTTGACTTTCAACAGAATGAAGCAGCAGTAAATATAAATGGGACGTGAATATTTTCTTGAATGGACATTTTAATGGTCTGTTCGCTCTACAACTCTGCTGTTGCGGTCACAGACACATTCCAGTTTTACTTCAGGAGCTGGTGGCTAGAAACCCGTTCCTCTGGCCCCTCGGCAGTGCATTCCCAGGTAGCTGAAGTCTTCTGCAGCCTCAGTTAATGCCCTGACTTGGAGTAGATCACTCTTTGTCAGGCCTGCTGGAAGCACCTTCATGGGTTCAGTCTGGGACCTGCTTGCGCCTCTCTCCTGTAAAATAAATCAGGAACATGGCAGGGCTCTGTGGAGAAGTCACTGGCTTGGTCCCAACACCTGGCAACAGCTTGACTGAAGCGCAGAGCTGCATATATCTTCCTTAATGTTTCACCTTCCAGCCTGTAGCTAACTATGGTCTATCTTCTACTTCTTTATTCTGAGCTTAAATATCCTCAAACATACCCTGACTGGATTGAATGCCGGCCTTAGTGACCGGTATTACACTGTGACTGTGGGGGTTCACTGGAAGCTTGTTCTCAGATCGCCTGAGATTTCACGCAGCTTGTGGATCTGGATGGGGAGCTGCAGCTTGCGGGCTCAGGGAGCAGGAGAGCAGGCCTGGCGCCCCACATGCAAGAGGCACTGGCTTACAGGATGAATTCGATGAGGCAGGAGCTCGTGGTGTCAGCCTCGGACCTTGAGCTCTGCTAGGTCTAGGCGTGAAACCCGACATGGCAGAACAGGGCAGACTGAGCTCAGGCTATGTGAAATTGAACCAACATATTTTACACCCACACCACTAAAAATAGGCCGCCGCCGCCAACTCTTCATCTGGAAGGAGAGGAAACACCAGCGTTGCTATGTTTTGGATGAGATGCAGCACTGAAGTCCTGACCATATTTAGCCATAAGATCATCTCATAGGGCTGCTGCATGAAAGTGGAGGTTTAAAAAGTTATCCTGGCCAAGTGCCAGTTCTGCCTTTATTATTTCTCCCTGCTATCTCAATACTTCATTTCATCACCTAAATTGCCGTTACTCTAGGCTGTTAAAGTGCTGTCATGCTACAGAGGCAACTACGTGAAGGAAATAACGTCTATACAAAAAAGTGCTCCATACAGCGAAATCAGGCCACCTATTTAGGTGTCAGATTTAGATTTTTTTCACTGTAAGCACAGAAACTCGAAACATTTTGCCCAAATGTGTTGAAAGCTATGAAGACATTAAAGATTATTCATGGAATAAATATTCATTGCAGAGAGAGATTTTTTTAACACACGAGTATTTCAGGCAGCACATTGTATAGCATGCAGCCACTTATAGGAAAAAGGAATCGTATTTTGAGTGTTGTTTCAATTGTTTTTAAAAGTAACAATACCAGAAATGTACATCAGTTTTATGATTTAATGACTGTTTCTGTTTAAATTAAAATACCTGCTAGAATTCCCCTGAACCGTTAACTAATTACTAGTAATGAAAAATTTTCTGGGAATTAGTCCTCAAATGCTTCTCTAGCAGATCCTAACTCCTTCACTTTGCTGGTAATTTTTAACCACAAATATTATGTCACACTTGTAGTCCCGAGTATCAGAAAAGTGTCCGCTCTCCTGCTATACCCATGGAAAAAGCGAGTATTTTGCCAACAGCAATTTACTGTGTTGTAGCTTTACATCTTCAGGTTTCCATGTTTTGCAAACTCCCTTTTTTTTTTTTTCTGGTAATTTTGGTCCTGCACGGTGAAGACGTCCTGCTCGTCCGCACTGCGGACCTCTAGTACCATCTAGCGTTACCAGAGCTCTTTAAACGCGCCAGACGTGTCACCTTGCCAAAAGGGCTTTTCCTTTTTCCCTCCTCCAAAGGGGAGAGCCGGAATTGGGATTGACCTGGCGGTTATGGAGGACGACAACACGCACGGAAACCCTCTGCTCCGTGAGGAGCGGCGGCAGGAGGCCGGCCTCGGCGGAGGAGGCCGAACGCGGCCTTGGCGCCACCGGCGGGGACACGCGCAGGGTTG